GCGCTTTATATGTTATGAATAAGATGGCGACCTAAGGCCATTATGAAAAGGTTGGCGACCTACGGCCATTATGAATAAGTTATGAAAACCTATCTGCTTCTCTTGCTCCTAAATGTATGCGAGCCCTTGGAAAATATTTTTAAGGCAATTAAATGAATGAGATTATATTATTTTAGTACAACTTAGTTTGGAAATAAATGATTATGTTAGCAATTTAGCAAATGAATTTCAAAGTGTGGAATATTTCGGTAGCACGGTTTTAAAATAATAGTATGTTGTAATTGGTATAAATAGAATGTCCAAGTAATGAAATTTATGTTTTGAAAGAATTAATCATTTATGTTAGTTTATTTGATATCTCTAAGTAAAGAACTAAAGTATTTATGGTGATTAAATGTTTATGTAAAGGATTTATGGGTATAAGAACTAATTATTTATGTTATTAATTAATAAGGTTTTATTTGATATTTCTTTTGCTATAAATGTAGTAAATGTATGTTGAAATTTAATGACTCTAGATTGTAAATGATTTTATGAAATTTGTGTTTTAAGTAAGTTGTCATCGCAACTTTGGTAAGTATGTGAATTATGAGCACCATTAAGTTTTATACTCAACGCGTTGATTTTTTTATCACGCGCAGGTTGAAGACCGTGGTTGCTACTTGAAGACCAGAAGAGTATCTTCAAAACAGAAGAGACTATTTTAGTAGTGATAGAATTAGTTTGATGTAATTAAGAATTAAGGCATGTATAATTATTACATTTTCAGAGATTATGTTATCTGAATTATAACTTAAGCTTGTAATTATAAATTATTTTGGTGTATATATTTGGAGATAAGCATGAGATTTTATTTAATGTTTGGATATAAAATATGTTTAAGATAATTATAAGCATGAGATTTTATTTAATGTTTGGATATAAAATATGTTTAAGATAATTGGTATAATTAAGAACATAAGGACTTGATATATATAATGAATGCATTTAATTGATGATCATTAAAATGCTATTGAAGATTTATATAGCTATGAAGATATAGAAGTGTTGTTGTGTTACTTAATTGTTATTGGAGCTGTTGGGAATTAGAATTTGAATTAGGAAGTGTTTTGGTATTCACATTTTTAGTGAGCTCAATTTAAGGAAAACTCTTGCAGTTAATCTGTAGGATTTTTCCCAAATCGTTTTTCATACGTTATATTTATATATATTAATAACAAAAAAAAACTTGTGAATACGTAATCACTTCTAATTCATAATCTGACTTTATGATTTATATGTTAAGTTAGGACGGTGTCTCCAGCACCAAATGTGGCATCGCCGTCGAGGCTCTTAGGACTGGACGGTGGGTGTTACATTTACGAAAAAAATCATTAATAATTTCTAATAGTTTAAAAAATCATTAATAATTTCTAATAGTTTATGAGCAAAATAATTTCATAGTACAATTTTTCGAGCTCTGTTTTTAAGATTTTACAATTATTTTAAAAATTTATATTAAAAGTCAAATAACAATAATAATTTTATTATTTAAGAAGTTTTCTAATTTTTTAAAAAGGCATCTATGTATCAAATAATGTATTATTATTTATTATTAATTAAAGAAATACAAAATATTAAAAAATAATGGAGATTTTCTTTACTATTAACCCAAGTTCCCTCACTCACACAAATGTCTTAAGTTAACTCGAGCTTAAAATCAAGAGTGAAACATATAGTATTGCATTTTTTTTTTATTTGCAACTTAAGTTTAATTGTTATTTAGGGTGCTACCATAACATAAGGACAAAGTTCAAGATGAAATTGACATAAAAGTCAAATTAAAATGAAATTGCAAGAAAATGCAAAGTACAAAATGAAATAATGCATTAAATCTATTGAAATTCATAAAATTAAATTCATAAAATTTGAATTTATAAATAAATTTCATAAAATTTTATGAGTTGATTTATTCCAAATAATGGGAAAAAAAATGACCAATTGTAGTTGAATCAGTAAACTTAGTCAGAATCTACATAATTCAAATTCTAAAGTTGTATAAAATTGGAAATGACCCCAACTCATTAAGAGTCAAATCACAGAATTCATTCACTTCTCTTGACTTAAATGTTTGACTAACCAAAATATGATGTTTTAATATCCACTTTATTTTGGGAAAATTTTAAATTATTTTGACAATTAATTTAAATGGTGATCTTTTCTGCATAACTTGACTCATCTGCTATTTAAAGTGAGTCAATTCAAATTATGATGAAAAAAGACAACATAGAAAATGTCCAAATCGCCTTATCTCTTATATGCCACCTTTAATTATGCAGCTTTGGTCAGGAGAGGGATTCTAAAAGAAATTGAATTTTCAAGTCGACGAAAAGATAATTGGATATTTCAATAAATGAAAGGCATCTATAACACTTCCGACCATGACACATCATTCTCTTATATGCCACCTTTAATTATGCAGCTTTGGTCAGGAGAGGGATTCTAAAAGAAATTGAATTTTCAAGTCGACGAAAAGATAATTGGATATTTCAATAAATGAAAGGCATCTATAACACTTCCGACCATGACACATCATACATGTTGTTGGCTTTGCCAAATCTTCACTACTGATGACAAGTGTAATTACACTTCCATGTAGAAAAAAAATAAAATGTTGTCCGACACTTTAAAAGGTTCAATGTGTCCATGACATATACTTATCAACATCCTAGACATGTTCGGATATTTTTAGAAAAATATTCTCCTATTTTTTTTAATTTTTTTTAATTTTGGCTATTTTAAGAACACCTCTAGATTAGGTAATTATTTATACTTAAATGAAGAGATAAATAAATGAAGGAAAAACCTTATTTTATGATTTTAATTTGAAACTAGTAATTCACAAAATTTTTGTTAAGCAAGAATTGAAAATATTATATTGAAGAAATTAAATGTGAGGTATTATAGAGAATTGATTTGACTCTTTAACAAATATCAGAATTCTTAAAATTATTAATTTATAACTAAATAAATCAAAATAAAAACTGATTTTAGAGAATTAATAAGTACCTTCAAATGAAAATAAAGTTGAGTTATTAAGTTCCAACATCCAAGCCAATTAATATATGCAAACTAGGTAGCATATCTTTCATCAACCTTTCCTTCAGTTGGAGAACCTCATCCATCCAAACCTATAGGTCCCACATGTAGCTTGTGAAAACATGAAAGTTTGATGTCATATTGATCACACCTTTTATAAGTGGACAAGTATTAAAATATCATGTATTGTACTAGGTTAGGCACTCATTAGGCTCAACTTCATTCATTCAATGTGTGATCAATTTCCAATAAATCGACACTTATTGGCAGCCAGACTCCAAAATTAGAGAAGAAACAAAATAAAATTTCAAAATTAAAGGGAACAAAAAAAATTTTTTACACATAAAATTTTTAAATTTCTTTTGAGTTTGAAAGCCCGGACTCCCCCAGTCTCAAAGCTATTCACTTATTTATTCACCTTACATTTATTCAATATTCAATTATTTGTTCACCTTACATGTATTCAATGTGCTTGAAGCTCTGATGTATTAAAGTTGACGGGTCTAATACTCATCTACATAAATTGTTATAATACCAAAAACTTGTGCATTTTGGCTATCTTTTTAACCTAGTTAGCCTCAAGAGTATCAATCTCCACTCAAATACCCACATAACTTTTCTAGACATGTTATTCTAGAAAAGTTCATTGAATTCTACAATTTTGTTTTTCTAGATATACATACACTCCTTATGGGTCCATCATCTAAGTAAGATGTATGAACATTTATGTTCAAAAAATCACACAACATATGATACTTTTAGCCATTGTTATATATATGTGTGGGGACACGCGCTAAATAATAAATTTTAATTTTTGTATATCATTAGAAATATTAAGAGTGTATAATAATCTGGGAATAAAAATAAATCGTAATATAACTTGTCCCTAATTTTTACATGAGATTTGTTACTTAGTATTACAGATGTTCTTATATGTATGGCAAATTTATAATTATTGATTAAGTTCAACTTTTACGAATACAATTATTTAATTCTAATATTTAATTTGATGAAGAAAGATGGCAATTTATATATAGTGTGCATGTAAAATATAATACTCGTGTGGGAAATTGAAAAGTGTGTGAAGGCTTGGCTTGCATCAGGCATGACTCAATGCTTGAATAAGCAGGCGCACAAAAGAAAAGAACGGGAAATGTTCCTTTTGGAAAGAATTTGCGATGCAAGACAACTACCAAATTCCATCAAACTATAAATAAAACAAACAAAAAAGGGTATAAGTAGAGGAATGCTCTCTGGGCTCCACCCCTCCCTCACGTTTTGCCTTCTAACACCTCCCACCAATCATCCTTACACGTGACATTCTTTCTTTTCTTCCTTTTTTCTTTCTTTTTCTTTTATTTATTTTAAGTGTTTAGAGATCGTATCAGCACTTCTAAGCCTGAGTTGATGTCACGATGAGTCTTGACTAAATTTTTTTTTTATCAGAAACAAAATAATTTTTATTAAATTAATATTATCCAGAAAAAAATTAATTTATCGAAGTAGCATCCCATTTTCTTGGCAATAAAGGATGTTGCAATTCTATTGAAATTATCCTTATAATTGTGAGTTTGAAGTTCTAATTTTAGTCACTGGAATAAAATTTTATCACATTTTATAATACGCATCCAAATATTAATAAATAAATAAATGAACGTTTAATTTTAAGGACCGTCTCCATTAATTTACTCTGCAACACAAACTTACAATATTCATGAGGTAATTTTTGAATAAATACATAAGTCAGACATAAAAAATATGTATTTTTCAATTCGAAAGAATAAATATTTAATTTCAATATACACATGTAAGTTATACGAGAATATTCTAATTGTTTGAATTATGAAGATATGAATATATATATAGACAACCCAAATTAATAATTTTAGATAAGAGTAGTGTTTGCTTGGTACCCACTATCATGCACGAACTCAAATTGCGGTTCTTATTTAATTAAGCTACGTTTAATTGTGTTGGAGTTTGCTTTCTAGCAAGCCAAACTATCCCTTGGTTGAAAATTCCTGATATATATATAGTTGAAGCTGGCTGATTAACATTTCAATGAAGCATAACAAGTTTACAACCCTACAATTTGGAAGAGGATTACTATATATATGTAAATAAGAACTTCTAATTTGGTAAACTTATTTCATCAAGGTCATCTAATGACAAGAAAACTTCGTCCAAACATGAGAGTTCAGTTCCATCATCTTCATCATCACAATTTCGCTCGTAAACTTTGCAAATAACCCACTTACTATGGTCCTGCATGTATACAATCACAAAAATGAAAAGTCAAAATTGAATGTTCTCTTGGTTCGACTATAGGTTATACAGACACTTTAACGGAATATATATATATATATATATACACTTTAAAAATGAAAAGTCAAAATTAAGCATATATTGTACAATTCGACTATAGATATACAGATACTTTGAAAGGTAGAAGGTATCTGGGTTCTGGACACGCGGAATATGGATAAGGAAAAAATATATATGTTGCACACACACTTTAAAAGGTGTAAGGTACTTTTCTCGTATTGGACACGTCAAATAATCAAATACTAATAAGAAAACTAGGACAAGGAAAAAAAAAAAGAAAAAATAAAAGGTTAAACTGTTACTTTTTTTGGATGACCTCTTGTTTTGGATGGTCTACTGCTTGAAGCACTATCCGATGATGATGATGATAATAATCTGTACTCTTCCATTATCCAATTAGTTTTCATTCCAACCGGAGCTTCTCCGACGTAAAACACTGAATATTTCTTCATTCCAACTCTCTTATTGGCGCTTGTAAGAACAGGTTCATCAATGCCTATTGCATTCCAATACCCGTTTTCTGTTATCCTATTCTGTGTCCTCCGGCTATAAAAATACCATTGCTTACCTTCCGCTAGTGCCTTACCTATATACCATCCATCAAAATTCAAACTGTTTCGAAATGCAAATACTTCAAAGAATTCAAATAAAAGAAATAAAAAGAAAAAGAAATTCATACCATCAAGTTCCCATGGATCATAAGGATATAAATCAAGATCAGGGATAACGTCAGGATGACAAGGTAAAAGGGCAGCCTTACGTTGAAGAAAATGGACAACAAGTTCTTCCTCCGTCGGATAAAATCGAAAGCCGGGAGGAAGATTAACGCTGCTCATCTCTGTGATTAACTTTCAATTATTAATTTTTCCTGGTAAGAATAAAAAGTAAAGAACAAGAACAAGAAACAGAAGAAGAAGAAGATATTAATTATGACAGAGCATTGTCGATGAAGGTTTAGGATGATAGATGATGAGATTTATAGAAGGAGATAAGAAGAGAGAGAGACGTGAAACAGAAGGCGTGTTTGAAATATATAAGTGGCTTTGTTTCTTTCTTATTCATTCTCCAAGGCGGCGGGTAACGGAACACCTTTATACTTGTAAGTAACGGTATATAGGTGTTGCAGAGAGTGAGTAGTGAGTGAGTGAGTGTGTTTTGTCCTTACAATTTTTATTTTTTAATATTAAAAATTATAAAATAAAAGAATAAAATAGAAAATTGTGACAATGGATCTCACTTCATGCTTATATCATGCACCTGCTGTTATCCACGCGCCAAACACAAATATGGGTTTGGTCCTAAACCATATCAAAAGTTTAGGTACCCCACCCCCTCTATGTAGGGCTGAGTGTGCCTATAACCATTATTTATATAATTAAGTAACTTTCTTCTTAATTTTTATTTATTTTAATTAGGATTTACTTCTTGTAAATTGATTGGAAAATATCCTTAATAGTTGATAAAAAAAAGATTAATTCCTTTATATATAATCTCAAAAAATAACAAATAAATGAAACTAAAACTAATACAGGTAATTTCTATTTCGCAATTCAATTTTAAAATTTGAAAATACTAATTTATTCACTGATTAATTAATTAATTTTCTAAAGAAAAATTTTTAACTTCAATTTGCATTGACTTCTAGCTATGTTTCTAATAGAAAAAATATGAAACTCATAATATAATTAATAGAATAATAAAAAAAAACTTGTAATTGATAATCTAAAATTAAGATTTAAATAATAAGTAATAAAATGTGAATTAAGTCTGCTTTATATTTCGTATATTATAAGAAAATGCTTATTTAGACATGATGTAAACCACGGTTACCGTAAATAAAAGTATGAATGTATTTTAACTGTATTCTAAAATAGTTCAGATATAAGGAGCGAGAAGTCTCAAGTTCGAGTTCTCTTCACTACAAATATTATCATTAATTTGGTGAAAATTATTTAAAGGAGAAAGCTATTCCTATCGTGTGTAGCCCATAATATTGTTTCAGTTCATTGTGCCTCTCATATATTAAAAAAAAAAAAAATGATAATCAACTATTTGTTAGGTAGATAAACAATGAATTTATGTCCAATATAGACATTTCCTACAAAATTATAATACTCTATTGAAAAAAAAAAAAAAAAAAAAAATGTTATTTAAAGGAGAGCCTATTTTCCCTTACTGCGTCGTGTAGCCCATAATATTGTTTCAGTTCCATTGTGCCTCTCATACGTATTAAAACAAAAAAAATGGATAATTTCAATACTATTGTTAGGTCTAGTATAAATACAATGAATGTTATATGTCCAATATAGACATTTCCTGACATAAATTATATTACTTCTATGTTGAAAAAAAAAAAAAAAAAGACTTTTCGGCGACTCCTTTAATTAACAGTTGAGAGTAGTGATTTATTTTTATTGCACTCTTTGTTATCATATGGGGTAGGCAGTACTGAATAATGTGCGTATCAGCAGATAACTGTAGATCCATCAGAGCCAAAACTGTAAAAGGCAATCAAGCAGGTTTTCTTAAGTTGGGGGAGTTTCAACTGGATAATTCTTTGTCTCACAAAACATGCACCGTCATCAACACAGTCCTGCTTCCTTATATTAAATAATTATATCAAATTATTAATTCTTAGGGAAGAGACCAAATCGAAAGCTACTACACATATCATCAAACGTAACAGTGAAGTTAGCGGTCTGTTTCTGTTTCCTCTCTCCTCGCCCTGTTTGCTGTAGCAACCTTTCTGCTCTATCTATGTTGGTTTTTTTGACTCACATAGCAATTTCATTGAAAAAAAAAAAAAAAAAAAAGAACTTTTGGGACTCCTTTTTAAAGTTGAATATATTTATTTTATCATCTTTTTACATATGGGGAGGGAGTAATGAATGGGTTAGCAGAAATGAGATCCATAGAGCAAAATGTAAAAAGCAATCAAGCAGGTTTCTTAAGTTGGGGGAGTTGCAACTGGAAATTCTTGTCTCACAAAACTGCACCTCATCAACACATGTCCTCCCTTATAAAATAAATTATTAATCAATAATTAATTCTTAGGGAAGAGACCAAAATGAAAGCTATACACATATATAAACGTAACAGTGAAGTTAGGGTCTGTTTCTGTTTCCTCTCTCCCTGCGCCTGTTGCTGTTAGCACCTTTCTGCTCTATCTAGTTGGTTTTTGACACATAAGCATTTCATTTTTATTTTTAATTACATTGTTTTATTGCAACGAACATATCACATATGTATTGTTGGTGGGACATCTTAATTCAAATTATTTTTAAAGCATTCTGTAGTTAATTGTACGTAATGTATATGCAATCTCATATTTAAAATTAATTGATTAATTTGTTGAAAAATGAAAACTTTTCTTTGAAGCTTAAACTAGTTATTTTCTTTTTATTATTTTTTTTTATGATTGAATAAAAATTTGTATTGTGTTTATTGTTTGAGCCTCACATGGTTAAAATCCCACTTTTCTCTTATTTGATTCATCTTTAAATTAATTTGTTGACTTTGCTTAACTTGATGCAGTGTGTTTTAATTATAAATATAAATATACATATAAATAGTTAAAAATAATATAAGTCGATAACTAGTTAATTATGATTGTTTTTTCATATTTATGTGACTTTTATTTATATTTTAACAAGCAAGATATGAAATTATATACTCTAATGTAATTAATGGTTCTTAAAAATTAAAAAGAAAGCATATCAAGACATAATTTAATAGTAAGTATGTGTACAACCTATTAACAAATCCAGGTTCGAATTTCTCTTTCCAATATTCAAAAAAAGTTAAAAGAAAAAGGGTCTAACCTCCAATTTCATTCCAAACTTTTCGAGTAGTTGCAATTCACTTTAAATCGACCCTTGGAACCTGGGCACTCTGAACTTATCAATATAGTTGCAATTACACCCTAATATCAAAAGTAATTACACCCTAATATCAAAAGTAAATTAGGGTGTAATTGCAACTATGTTCATAAGTTTAAAGTGCTCAGGGTATTGCATCCTATAAGTGAATTACAACACTCTAAACTTATTGATTTGTTGCAATTGCACTCTAAAAATAAACTAAGGTTGAAATTTTGATTAAAACAATGTAAAAAATGGACTTCATGACTAATCAAATATTTAAACGATAAATAATAAAATCAAGTCCAAGTATTCATATAATAAACGAAAGAAATCAAAGTTGCATCTTGGATTTTAAAAATAAATCAATTTTAAGATGCAAAAATAATGAATTTGATACTGATTCAATATTAGACTTCCTAGGAAGACAAAATAAATATGAGGATTTTTTTTGCTACTTTTGTTGTAGACATTATTTAATTTCCTACAAGGAGAAAAAGATTATAAATTGAAGGACAAAAGAGGTAAAATGATAAATTCGATCATTTCTTTTAATTCAAATGTTATATATTACATTTAACTAAGTTTGGATTGGTTATGGAGTCTATTTTTATATTATTTTAATTAGAATTCGAACCTTAATTTGTTATTAGAATGGAATTGCAGCAAATCGATAAATTCAAGGTGCTCTAATTCACTTTTAAGGTACAATTAAACCTTAAAAGCAAATTAGGGTGTCATTACAACTAAATTAATGAGTTTAAGATGCTCAGAATATAAAGATCGATTTAAAGTAGAATTGCAACTATTCGAAAAGTTTGGAGTGAAATTGATTGTTAAGGTAAAGAAAAAGAGACAAAACAAATCAAGTATCTTTCCAAATATTGACTTGAGAATACAAACTTTTTCTTATCAGAACTTAAAAAGTTATCTAATTAATTTTGTCCAAAAAAAACATTTGTATATCCAAGTTTCAAACCCAAAGCAATAGCTCCCTGTATATATCCAAACCTAATCTAGATATTCTAAATAAATAAATAATAAACCTAGTTAAAACTTCACAAATAGAGCATAATGCATCTAGTACCAATTAAAATGAAGTCTTAACAAAATACTAAGTAATAATAACATAAATTTGAAACCTATGAAGAATGGCAATAAGAAAAACATGTTCTTGAGGTAATAAAAAAAATCTTGCGAACCAAATTTTGAAAACTCAAAAAGGAACAACATAAAGTCCACCTATGAAACAACAATCAATATCAACTCAACAGCTAAAAGTCCAAAACTAGAAATGAGGAAGGAAAGTGGGGGTGGAGCCAGACTCCAAAACTAAAGGGGCCATAAGAAAATTTTAAATTTTCAAAATTAAAGGAAACCAAATTAAGAATAAAACATTTTTTTGCACTATGTATAGATAAAATTTTTTTAGCTTAGGCCCGGGCTCCCCCGTTCCCCCTCCCTTCGCCGCTGAAGGAAAGCCTTATAACAATCATTAGTCGTCCTATTGAAGATCGTTGTACCAAAATGATTATTTTGATTTACAGCTAATTAAGCTGGACATATATGTTTCAACCTGAGCTTAAAGGATTCAATTAGAGATGCGCATCGGGCGGGCATGGACCAAGTTTTTCAATTCTCATATTCATATATATATTAAATACAATGACATAGCAAAAAATAATATATATATATATGATACAATGACATATCCAAAAATAAAAAGTAGAAGAAGGAAACAAATTTTCAAAATTTAAGGGGACAAAGTTAAAAAGTTCACTGTTTAATAGATATAATTGAAAATTTTTATTATTTTAGGCGGATGCATTTAACAAAAATAAAATTGAATTAGGGGCGGAGGTACCCCTAGCACCCATCCATCAGTCTTTGAATATATTTAGACTCTACTTGGCAACAACATTTAGGTTGTGTTCAGCAACAACTTTTTAGGTAACACTTAGAATTTTGACTAGTTAATTTTGCCAAATAGCTACTAAAATAGACTCTTAATATAGCATTTAGTGTTTTGATTATCTCTATTATTTAGGTTTTATTCGACAATATTAGTAGTTATAGTAGTTGCTAGCTATTATAGTAACTGTTAGTTATTCTATTAGCCATTAGCTGGTAGTTGTTTATATAACGATTTAAATTGAAAGTATTTAGTAAAAATAGTTATTTAATTAGTTATTTAATTTAAAATGACAAAAAGGGACATTAATTGTTTAATTAGCTAAATTCGGAGGAAAAAAAAAGGGTATTATTATAA